AGGAATGGCCTGGAGCGGGATTTGGATCCCGTTCCCATTCCCAGGGAGGATCAGGAGCGGCCAGAGCCGCCCTCGGGGCGTTGTCCCCAAATTCCATCACACTCGGGATGGGGACAGCTATGGGCTCTTTCCATCCCAAATTTCCTGGGAATGGGCTGGAATGGGATTTGGATCCCGTTCCCATTCCCAGGGAGGATCAGGAGTGGCTGGAGCCGCCCTCGGGGCGTTGTCCCCAAATTCCATCACCCTGACAGCAGCACTGGGAGCCCACAGGGAACAGGGACATCCCAGTTCCCTCCCAAATTTCCACCTTTCCTTCCCAAATTTTCCCCTTTCCCTCCCAAATTTCCCGGGAATGTCGCCAGGCTCGGAGCGAACCCTCCTGCTTTGCTCCCTGCCTGGATTTCCTTACGGGGGTTTCCAAGGATTCCCAAATTCCGTTTTTAGGTGGTTTTTTTAGGGGGTTTTGAGAACAGGTTTTTAGGGTTTTTTTTTTAATATTTTTTGTGGTTTTTTTAGGGGAATTTTTAAATATAAAAGAACTCAGAGTTGAGAACAGGTTTTTAGGTTTTTTTTTAATATTTTTTGTGGTTTTTTTAGGGGAATTTTTAAATATAAAAGAACCCAGAGTTGAGAACAGGTTTTTAGGGTTTTTGTGGGTTATTTTTTGTGGGTTTTTTTTCAGGTTTTTAGGTGTTTTTAGAGGCTTTTGTAACAATAAAAGCACCCAGAGTTGAGAACAGGTTTTTAGGGTTTTTTAGATATTTTTTGTGGTTTTTTAGGGGAATTTGTAACAATAAAAGAACCCAGAGTTGAGAAAAGGTTTTTAGGGTTTTTGTGGGTTATTTTTGGTGATTTATTTTTAGGTTTTTATAGGTTTTTAGGTGTTTTTAGAGGATTTTGTGACAATAAAGGAACCCAGAGTTGATTGGTGACCCCAAAACCTCCAGCCTCGACTCAGTGTTCCCCCTGGAATACCCCAATCCCAATTCCCTCATCTCCTGGAATCCTTTAGGACTGACCACCCCCAAACCTGGCTGGCCCCCAAAAAATCTCCCAAATCCCCTTTTTCCTTCCATTCCAGCGCCTGGAAATCTTTTTGCTTTTCCCCCGCCGAACCAGGGGGGTGCCTGCGCCTGCGACCGGCTGCGATTATTCACCGCGGGCTTTAATTTGCTTTTTTCTCCCTTTTTTTCCCCCTGCCTTTCCTGCCACCAAGGAGAGGAATTTTATGAAGCCTCCCCGTACGAGCCGGCCACCTCTCGTCTCTCTGATATATTCAGGCTCGCTTCAATTTTCTCAGGTAATGAAAGCGCCGTGTTTTATCTCCGAGCCAGGGAAAACCTCCCCCTCCGTCCCCCGGGCGCCGTCCTTTGCTCCTCCAGCCTCTCCTCCCCTCCGTTCCCCCCAAATCTCAGCATCCTTTTGGGCGTTC